CCTGTTTTTTTCTCTTTATAAACCCAATTTTTCCGGAATCTGCATTGTGGTTTTTAGCAGCAGTTTTTTTTTTTTTTTTTTTTTTTTTTTTTTTTTTCCCTGTAAATAAACATTGAATAGAAGACTTGTGTGTTAATCATACTTTAAATCAGTTGTTATATTACACCTGCAACTTGTTAAATATAGTGAATAATAAATCCAGCAAAAATTTGATAATTGAATCTCCTTTGGACCAATTCTGAGAGTCAGTGAAGTAATTTTTTTAGTCCAAAATTGAAATTTGTTCTCAACTTGGTTAAAAAAGTTATGAATAAATAAAAACTTGTTTTTGAACTGGTTTAGTTTCTGGTGCAAATATCTACACTAACAATTTCCCAGTAAGATATAGAACCTCATTTTAAGTAAATACATCCTTATAATAAAAGAAGTACCAGTTGGCAGATTTTACTTATACATTTTTATCATAAATGAAATAATCTGCAAGTGGAAGTAGTACTTTTTCATCATTATTAAAAAAATTAAAACAAGTTCCTAATTCCAATATGTTGCTGAAAAGTTACTTGTTGATTTCGTCTTATTTCAAGTGTACCTTGAAATAAGTTTCTAAGATATTTGCCATTGAAACTTGACCAAAAATACTAGTTAAGATTCTTTGGGGTTAACATAATAGATCGTAATTTTCTCAGAATCAAATCACATCAGCTTCTAAAATTTAATGTATTACCTAATATTTGAGGCCATCATTAAGCATTTTGATCAACTAAAGACTCAACAAAAACATCGTACATAGTTGGATGTGTTTATGGCGTTAAAAATGAGGCTCTGGTTGATTATCTGTTGTTTTTGCATTATGTTACATTATTTTTGCAGCTTCACATCTGTTTCTAAAACAGGTTAACATTTAAGCAGACGGCTTCCTCTGCAATACCTTTGAATACCGGTGAAGACTTCAGAAAGCAATGTTTCTCCCTCTAGTGACCACTAGATGGCGGTATTGTTGCAGTGAATTTTGTAGGTTTAGTAAAAACACTTTGTTTAACTTTTATTTTTAAGTTTATTTAGTTTTAATTTAGACTGTTAACATTTATTAAATTCTTAAACGAAACAAGTTACAGTGAACTAATCAAATCTAAACAGTTCACAATACAAACATCTCTAAAAGGAACCTGTTGAAGTATTTATCTTAAAAGAAAAAAAAAACATAAAAGTAATTCAATAAATTGTGTATATCTCCATGTTCATGACTTCCCCCAGTCCAGAGCTTTCATGAATTCCTCTTCTGCAAAGGACAGCAGCTTTGCAGCTTCAAAGTGCATCTGCAAACACAAAGTCATATTTTCAAAGATAAAACACGAACAGAGTGCGGGTGTAAAGTAGAGATCCTCACCTTTTGTCTTTTGAGAATGTCGATCAACTTCAGTTGTTTCTTGAAACCAGCAATAAGTTCAGTTTTCTGCTTCTTCAGAATCTGGTTTTCAGCTAGAAGACTTTCTTTACTTTGTTGTTCTTCACTGATTTTGTCCTTGTTTAACACACACAATAATTAAGAAGTTATAGTTGAATTAGACCAACTTTTCATGCAAGACTTTAAGCATCAGATCACATGAAATTCGGAATATATAAAATAATTTAAGAAGAACATCTTTACCTTCCATAAATTAAAAGATAACTTGAATTATTAGCTACTAAAATCGTAGCTAATAAACATTTGGTCGCTGGTGTCATATTTTAAGGTATTTTGTTAAAAGCTAGAAGCAAGTCTGGGCTACTAAAGTTTTTATTCACAAACTTAACCCTTAAAGTACAAATCACATTTCTAAATATGATCTCTGACCAAATCCACAAACTTCTGACACCACAACTAAAACGATTCTAAGGTCTCTGAGATTGTTCTCATGTAAATTAAAATACTCAGGTGTTGCTAGATGACCACTAGTCTTTGCTCAAGACATGTGGCATGATGAGTAAAATTACTCACATGATGCAGATAATGATAACACATGGATTCCTGGTATTTAGTATTAATCCACTATGAAAAGCAGTCAGGTTCTTACTTTGTTTATTTGTTTTGTCTTGGCGAGCTGAGACTTCAGCCTCTCCGCCTCCTCCACTGCTCTGTTCAGACGAACCTCCACGGTGCTGTGGATAAACGCCGCTTGCTTTTGGGATCTAGTCAGAGTTTCTACTTCCTATTCAAAGCGCAGCAGGTGTCACTGTTATAAGTTCTGATCTGATTGCATGAGCAGTGAAGGCTGCTGTCATTTCTGACAGATTTGTCTAAGCAGTTCCGGGGACACAAACCTTGTTTAACGCAGACACTTGCAGCTGGAGATCGTCGCATTTTCTGGCCGACTCTTCAGCTAAGGCTTTCTGCTTCTCAGTCTGTGTTTGGTGGATGTTGATGGTCCTCTGCAGCCGGACTCTGTCCTCCTCAAGCTCTTTAATTTTTGCAGCCAGCTTTGAATTTTCTTCTTCCTGAAAGGTGAGGGGCATTTTCTAAATACCAGTAGTCTGCTTATTTCTTGAGACTGAAGGTCTGAATAGTCCAGGAGTTGTGTTTTAGCCTCTTCTTTACATTTATGGTGATAGATAAGATTACAGTGAAGCAAAAGGAGTTGCTGGAATGTGTTTTGTTTATTTTTATTTTTTTACCTTCTTATGATAATCAGAAGAAAGCGTGTCGATCTCTTCTTGCATAATTCGAAGCTTTGCCTTCAACACTCGTGTTTGAGCATCAGAAACGGCTGCAAAGGAAAATACGGTGATCACAGTAAATAGTTACTCATTCTAAAACAATCAATAAATATCAAATACTGGACACACTGATCAATAATTTTCTAACAGTACTTTTTTATTTAAAAGAGTGTGAATCCAAGTGCTTCTTACAGGAATAAAACTTACACAAAGGTGTAGAGCCACAGTTCTCAGATTGAGGAACTTCGGCTGTTTTAATATTTTTTGAAGGGTAAATTTGAGCAGATTAAATGTAATGGGGAGATAGATGCTAAACACCAATAGCCAAAAACACGATCTGTTCACATTAGTTACTGTTTCATCAGAATCTTTCAAAAAAGAAAAGTGCTGCGGCAGAAATTTCCAGAACTCCCAGCATAAAGACCTGGAACCAGAAACAAGCCGAGTTTCCTTCACCTCTGAAGTTCAAACTTTGATCTGGAAACAGGATTGATCTTACCTTAATTTAACCATGTTCCAGTTGAAAGTTTGAAAAACCACTGGGGTGCATTAATGCTGGAAGACCAGCTCAACTACGACTAGCAGCGCAAACTACTAGCACTGTGCGTCTCTACATCTAGCACTTTCAGAATAAGAGCACAAAACGTTTGGGTCCTTCCGAGTTGAATACTGAACTGTTTTCTAATTTGCTCAAATCATTTGTATCAACATATAAATGTGACTTTATTCTACTTTGGTCATTACCTAATCCTCCGTAATCTTCAGCACTGTCCACTATGTTTTCCTGACCACAGTCTATCTCCTGCAGGCCCAGAATCGTCTTTGCTAAGAAGATATCAGCTTTATTCAATATAGCTTCATCATCACGAGAGTCCTTCGATGTCCTGGAATAAACAATATGTCCGTTTTAAGCCATCATAATAAACAAGGATGTAACTGATGATGCAAGCAAAAATCAAACTCACGCTGTTTTAAACTGTGGCTTCTTTTCTTGTTTCCCAGCATGTTTACTCTGTGTTGCTGATGTGACCCTTTTTTTGCTCACCTTTTAAGGAGTACACAATTCTCAGTATGAATTGTGTACTCAGTATGAATTATTAGATTGTCTTTATTACATTGTTCAGCCTGAAGGAAATGCTGCTCCAGATTAAAAAACAAACATCTGACCAAGAACCAAAGTTTCCTTTCTGGTCTAATACCTTCATTCCAGGATCCTGTGCAGCTTTTGGTTGAGATTTTGAGTTTCTGTTGCAGAGGAGTCGGACACACACATACACATATAGCACCTGCTTTGTTAGTTATATTATTTTCATGAACAACAAAGATCTGAATGTATGTGCCTGCACAGCGGAGCTCCCTATGCGCATTGTTCAGTATGCTCTGCCCTCTTGTCACAGCTCTTACCTGAAACCATCTCCACCCTCCGTTTCCACGGTGAATTCATTAGAGAGAGGATATGACAGAACTTCACTTTGCTCTCTCTAAAATCCCACAAACAGAAAATATTTACTTTGAAAGTGTTGAAATTCACAAGATTAGGTTTTAAATCTATATTCACAACTTACCATGAGTTGCTCTGCTTGTCTCACTAGCTCTGATGTTTTGGCTTCAAGCTCAGCATTTAACAGCCTGATGGAAACAAGAGGATGCATAAAATAGTTTTGAATACAAGTTGTGAAACTTTTTATTATTTATCTGTTTATTTTATTATTATTGGAGCCTTGCAACAAAATTTCACTAAATATGTACATTTTAACTGAACAGCTGAATGACTAAAGTATGTGTATGTATATGGTGAGTGTATGTTACCATTTATAGGAAGGAATAATTAATTACTTTGCTTTGTTTAAAAAAAGGAGGGGGTGGAAGGTGATTAGGACATTAACACGTTTAACTATCTTACTTGTACTCCTCCTCCTTGGCATAAATGTCATCAATATGTTTTTTTGTTGGACTCGAGTTACATCTTTCCTTTGGTTTAGCTTCCATCTTCTTGGCGCTCTCAGCTGTACTGGATGATGGACGCTTCTTGGCCTATAACACAAAAACAAACAACAGAACTGAGTTACAGAGAGATTTAGTATTTAACCCGAGCTTTAGAAGCACTGTGATTGAATTTTTATTTTGTCTGAACTCAGCATTTTGTGAATAATTTGACATTTTCCACTTCGAACACAATCACAAAACGGGGGTAAAAATTATCTTTAAGCAGATTTAAAATAAAAATAAAAAATGCTTTTTAAGCTGAGAAAACGCTCTGTTTGAACTTTTCTAACACCCAAAGTTAAATATATTCATTACATACCTCCGAAATGACGGCTTTATCCTTTTTCTTACAACTTTTGTCGGCCATTGTTGTGGCTAAATCCGGGTTGCCTAGCAACAACTGTTCAACAGCCGAAAGTACGGAAGCTCCTGAAAGACATTTGCATGGAATTTCAGCGTTTGGCAACAAACGTGAGAGTACTGCGAAATATTCTTCAACAAAGACATTCCCGCTATTTTTGAAAAAATAAATACTGAATAAGGTGATTTACTGAGGTCACATTTGTTCAAGAATAGTAATTAAATGAATTATGACAACATTTAATTTCCCTTTGGGATCAATAAAATATTTTTGAATTTTATTTAATTGAATATAACAGTTAAAACATGAAACATTGAGGGGTGTTGTGATACCTCATGTGGACCTAAGAGATAAGATAAAACAATATCTATTCCTTTTCTCCACATCCTTCACATTTCTCACTGTTTTTCTTCTTCCCCCATTTGGTGTATTGCAAAAATGTGTGCTGCATAACACCGACGACTGTACAGGAATGACCCGGTGTCATTACATATCAATCATCTGAGATATTACTTGGAGGGGCAATCTGGTGTCATAGTGGAGACACACTGTCTTCACTCTCAGTAGGAGATATTCAATCCTAATTTTTTAGACTTCACTAATGTTTTGAATTCAACCAAGAAACAAAAAAATCAGTTGTATCACATGAAGAGGACTTTGGACATCTGTAGATTAAAAAAAAAACTTTTACACGGTACACTCCTGCTGACAGGCAATGGAGAATGGATGCTGAATTTGCACCTAAAAGCTGTTTCAACAAAGTGAAAACATTTGTGCAACTAGGTTATTGCCCATTTTTTCATTTTTGTACTCTTTCCCCCCCATTACTTGTTCTGGTGAATTGTATAGAGTAAACGTCACATTAAAAGTGGACAAAGTCTGTAAATTATTTATTGTTTTGTTTATTGTGTGAGAATTTCTTCTCAAAATTTTACAGCCTAATCTGATCAGAACATTTCACAGTGAAAACCAGAGAACAACAAAAGAAGTCGCTCAAATTAAGACCAGATTATGTGTATAGCACATTTCAGCAACAAGCCAGTTCAAAGTATGAAATAAACAATAAACAGTACATTTCTCAAAAGTCATCAAAAGTCTACTACCGTACTAATCAAAGCTATAAACACAAGGGTTTTCAGCCCACATGTTTAGAGCTCACATGTGGGCTGAGTTCCTTTGACTTAAAAGAACTCAGTGTTTCAGCTGTTTTACAGTTTTCTGGAAGTTTGTTCCACATTAGTGGAGCATAAAAACCTAATGCTACTTCTCCCATGTTTGGTTTAGTTTGACAAAAAATTATTTCCTTATTTTCACAACGTCGTTCAAACTGATATGCATGTATGCATTTGCATAATCGCCAATAGAAAAACAAACTTTCCTTAAGTGTAGATAAACATGCAACAGACACTAAAATATCATACATTCTTAGTTTGGAGGAGACATGAAGAGAAAAAAGGTGAACTGCGAGCTTTTCTCTATTTTCTGTTATGTGTTGCTCTGATGAATGAGCAGCTGTAATAAATATTTTCTTATTAATAAAAGAAATTTTTTTTATTAATATATATTTTTATGTATTAAGCTGTGCTTTAACAATATATTTTTCAAAATATGTTTCAAAAAACCTTCTGAGTGAATAAGTGAACAAAATATTAATCAACGCAACTTTAAACTGAGGTTGTTTAACACAGGATTACATTTACAGTGCAGCCCCATAACATGAAGAAATGGCTTTTTAAGAAGGACAGTGAGGATCATGTTTATTGTGTCTTCAGCATGGCCTTGATGAACTCATCCTCGGTGAAGGACAGCAGCTTTGCTGCCTCAACGTGCATCTGCACACAAAAAGTTATGTAATGTTTTAAAATGTGAAACAAACCACACTGATTACGACAGTAAAATAAAAATACTTACTATATGTCTTTTCAGAATGTCGATGAGCTTGGCTTGCTTCTTGAAACCCGAAATAAGGTCGTATTTCTGCTTCTTAAGGAGTTTGTTCTCAGCCAACAGATTTTCTATAGTTAGATTTTCTTCACTGCTCAGGACCTACATTAACAAGAAATAAAAATGATTCAATTAAATTCAATTGAATTCAGTATATTGGCATGGATCTAATTTACAATAAATGTGGTCTTGTGACTTTACAAAGAAAAACACTGCATATACAGAAATATAGAGTAAATTCAATCACTCCCCCGATCGCTAGTTTCTAGCCGTTATAGGTGAAGCTGTTCTGCTGGTTCTTGACCGTTCCTCTTTAAATCCTAAGATAAAAACTCCTGTTTTGTTTGTTCAGCTGGAGGAACTTATGGCAAATAAACAGATTGATTTGTATTTAAACATCACTCAGGTGGGTTCTGAGTCACCTACTGACATTGTTAAGATGAGCTAGTTTAACAACTGTCCACAGTTCTCAACTGGACTCAGGTCAGGTGAGGAAGTTTTTCATCTGGTGAGCCTTGCAGAGGAGTACCTGGATGCATGTGATGGAGCTTTGTCTTTTTGAAAGACTCAGACTTATTCCTGTACTTCTGCTTGAATAAAGGTTCAACCAGCTCATACCAGAACCCCCATCTCCTCCTTGCTGGTGCCTGACTCAAAGTGGAGATATTTGCCAGTTACTGATCCACCTATAGATCCATCCATCTGGCCCACCAGAGTCACTCTTATGTCATCAGTAAAACCTTAGAAAAATCTGTCTATTTCTTTTTCCACAACACATTTCTTTTGATTATTTGCAGCAAAACGTTTGATGGTTCTGTGATCATACCTCAATATCTCTTCAATTTCAAGAGTGCTGCATCCATCTGATAGATTTTTGGTGATTTTTGACTTTTCAGAGTCAGCTAAATCTCTTTTTTGGCCCGTTTTGCCTAAAGAGAAGAACCTGCCTAATAATTATGCACACCTTGAGTATCATCACACAGATAATCATCACCTGCTAAGCTTAAATAGTCTGAACAGATTGCACTTTTTTCAGCTTGGAGTTAAAATATGACTAAAAATGAGGATCTGGATACTCACTTGCTTAATAATTGTGCACACAGTGTAGAAGTATTATTATTAAACTGAACTCCCCATTTGGGTAAACAATCTTCACTAGAGTCTGGAAACCTTTACACTCTCTACTTTTAAAAGACTCTCTTCAATGTATTTTAGTTCTCTATTGACAACTAATCAGCTTTCTAATGCAATTTTATTGATTTCTACTAATTCCAAGTTTATTTTTTTCCTATATTTAGGATAAACATATCTTTAGTCTGTTGTATTTAATATAAAGCATTGAAATTAATTCAGCAGACCTTCTTCTTCTTTGCCAGATTGGCTGCAGTCAGTTGGGAATTCATCCTCTCCACCTCCTCATCATAACCTTTAACCAGCTTAAAGAAACAATGAAGGTTACTGTTATTTATTATGGTAAATAGGAAACCATTCAACATCATTGCCAGAATCTAGACATTAAACTTAAAAAACGCTTCAAGCTCATGCTTCAGTTGCCACTGACACAAACCTCGTTTAAGTCATACACTTGCAGATGGAGATTATGACATATTTGGACAAGATCTTTAATTGAAGCTTTCTGCTCCTTAATCTGTACTTCCTGGACATCAATGGTCTTCTGCAGTCTGGCTCGATCGTCGCCCAGCCTCTTATTTGTTGCAAAAAGCTTAGCAAATTCATCATTCTGAAAGAGGAGAATTTACATGTGTAAAGTCAGGCCAAAACCAATCAGACTCTAAGAAGATTTAGATTTAAATATTTAAAAAGAAATCTGTGTATTTATATTTTTATATTCATTATTTTGATATTTAGATACATTTAAAATTAAAATGCTGTTGCATAAACAGGCGAAGAGACCATTGTTGGTATATTTAGGGAATTATAGGGCTTTTAAAATGAAGAATGAAAACATGCTGATAGTTCTAATAAACGTCCACAAAAGCAAAATAAGTTTGAACTACATGGGAGTTTGTTAAGATTTATAACTCTACCTTATTATGATATTCAGTGGAAAGCAGATCAAGTTCTTCTTGGACAATGTGTAGCTTGGTTCTTAAAACCCGAGTTTCATGGTAAGAAAAAGCTGTAAAGTAAAACTGAATGAGTAAAATATGAATAATATAATTAATAAACTTTACTAAACTTTCAATAAATCACAATAATTAAGTTTATTATGGATAAAACCAAATTAGAACAATATGTTGTTCTAATTTATTAATTAATCTTAACAAATAAATTGAGGATTTATGAGTTTTTTTTTTAAGTTGACTCAAACATTCAGCATTTAGCAGGTTACCTGCAGCCTTTTCCTGAACACAATCATTTATTTTCTCCTCCTTTTCTTCTTGGTCAGCATCCATATATTTTTCTGTTATTGACACTCTTTTATTGGCCAAATACTAGAGATTACAAAAATAAATCACGTTTTTAGCCTCAACAAAAGGCATCTCCAGAATACTCACAATTTTATCCAGGAAAATATCTGGACGTGTACCTTCATTCCAGGATCCTGCATGGTTCTTCCTTTGGACTTTGAAATCCTGCAGCTGAGAAGTTGGACACAAACACATTTATCTTTTAATGAACAGTGGGGATGTGTATCTGTCTACATGGATGGCTTTTTCTGACGATTCTTAACTGGAATTGTTTATCTTCCATATTCAGGAGCAGTTGGGTAGAGGCTTTGACTGGACTTCACTCTCCTCCATCTAAAACCCATAAGAATCTCTTTAACCTTTGAAAGACATCCTGATTGATTTCACATTTTTCTCAATTAACAGGCTAACTTAGGTCCATAAGTTGCCACGAGAGTAAAATCAAATATATTGATAATCATAATTCACTCTGCTTGTTTTAATAGTTCTACTGTTTTGGCTTCCAGCACAACACTCAACAGCCTGACTGACACAGCAGAAAGTAAAGCACATTACTTATGGATACAGTCCACAATTTATAGCAAGTATTAGCAGAAAAAAAGTATTATTAATTTGTTACAGAGAGATTTGCAAGTTAATCAGTCATTTTATTTATTTCCGGTTTGAAGTGCAGCTTTAAAAACAAATGCTAATTTAATTTAAATTTTTGGTATAATTAATTTTGTAATATGGGATACAGTCAACACATTAAAAAAAACCGACAGGTACAAAACTAACACGTCAGGCTCACTAACATAACAATCTAAGCATCACATACCCGCTAAACGACGGCGTTAATGTTTTAATTATAACTTCTAACGCTGCTGTTTAACGCCTCCAAAGACGCAGTTCTGGTTGCCTAGCAACGACTCCTAAAGTACGGAAGCTTCTGAAGGGCATTTGGCGATATGCATCACCGTAAACAGACAGACATGTTCGTTTGGATGAATGTTTATGGTGCTTTGATAAAATAAAATAAAACTGCTGAAATTATAATCTTGAAACAGGTGTTTTTATCAGTCATTAAAGTAATTTGAAGTGAAAAAGTACAGTACTTCATAAAATCTTGAGAATAATATATCTGAGTCTGGTTTGTCTGGTTCCTCACCTAGGACCTGTCTGCCTTGGGTGACCCTACCAGGGGCATAAAGCCCCAGACAGCATAGCTCCTAGGATCATTGGGACACTCAAGCCCCTCCACCACGGTAAGGTGGCAGCCCGAGGATTATGATAAAGTAAATGTTAAAGATAAAACTCTACCTTTTCCAAATGTTGTTTGACTAAATGCTGATATTGTACCTTTGTCATATTGATAATTTTAACAACTTATAAAAGAAAAGGTCAAACTTTGATAAAAACACAAATCGTCTATTAGCATTCATTTAATTATACAGTTTTTTAAAATTATTTATTACATCTGACACTGACCAAACATAGTACTTAAACCCTCTACCAGGGGGCATCGTTCAATACACCAGGTTTTACAATGACCAGAAATCCCCAAATAAGAGACTTTTCAAGGACACAGCTTTCGTTTAACTATAAGAATGTCAATATTTTCCTCATCTGACAAATATCTGCAGGCATGATAATGTATTTACTGTCTTTGGTGTGTTCTAATCTGCTACTAATGAGCAAAAAATAGTCAAACTAATATGTTTCACAATGTAAACATTTTATCATCACTCCAACCATTAATATGTGTAAGTTAAGGCATACTAATGTGTTTTTGTGTAACGTAATTCTCAAGGTTTTTTTTTTTAAACAAGCCTTATGAAAAACACACATCATATCTTTTTAACACATGTTCAGATGTATTTTCATTTGGCATCATGTTTTTTGTGTTTGTAAGTGTTTCCGCAAGTAAAGAGAACCCAAACAGGGACATTAAATCATACTGAGAATCAAAGGAAACTGAGGTTGTTTTTGATGGAATGTCTCGTTTCTAAGAGGGATGTTTTAACCACCAAAATCTGTGAACATGAATAATTTAAATGTTTTTAATGCGTTATAATAAGGATATGTATTTAGATTTTATTTATTTTTTAGCTATTGTGGTACATTTTGTTCCGATCATAAACTGTTAATGAAAAGAGTCAAAGCCATAAAATTGGGTGATTTGGACCTTTTATCTGAGCGAACAGAATCAATAGCATAATAAATGTGCACGAACATTTCTATAATTTCAACTTAATATCAGACGAATAAGAAATCATCCAAATGCACTTCGGCTGACAGTTCAGCTTGTTTTTGATGCTGGCTTCACCACCGCGCATGCGCGTCCCCAGCCGCTACTACTCTCCATGCACATGCGGACAAATCCCACAACGTGCGGGGCAGAGCAGGGCTCACCAGAGGGAGTGATTAGTTTGTTTTCCAGCTGTCTGCTCTGCTGTTGGCGCTCCTTTTTATTTATACCCAAGCATCACCCAGGCTCCGGGCAGCGGCGCCTATTTCGGCTGCACAGCCTCCAGATGGACCGACCGGCCGGCCGGCGGGTGTCCGGAGTCTGAAGCGAGCGATGTCGAAGGAGGAGTCCTGGGTGGCCACAACAACAACAACAACAACAACAACAGGGCGCGCTGCTGTCCCGCTGCAACGTGTCCCGGCCCATGTCCGCTAACCCGACTCCGCCTGTCTCCGTCCAGTCCCGTCCATTCCAGGCCAGTCCCGCTCAGAGGCGCACCCCAATGGCCGATGAGGATCCCCAGCAGCCGGACACCGGAGCGGGGAGTCTACCCGGCCTGCTCCCCGGGCTGCAGGGTGCTGAGGCCAGCGCTCTGCAGCTCAGGATCAAGAACTCCATCTGGTGAGGTTTTACACCTAACTGTTTGGGCATGCACCATGCTGGACAAGACATCTCATGACTACCCGTAGGTTTTGTTTTAGAGCAACACACGAGATGAGTATAAACTTATCTCTTAATTTTAAGTATAAACTGCAGTAGTCTCTGTGGAAATGGAAATGCAAGTACTTCTGGTGCTCAAGTGAAGATAAAAAGTAGTCATGAAATAGAGAAACAAATAAGTACTCAAGTAAGAGGAGGCTATACAAATGTTTGGTGGAATCTGATTACGTCTGCAACTAATGGTTATTTTAATAATCGACCGTTCTATCATTTAATTGAAAAAAAATGCTCACATTCTAGAAACTATTCATTTAACTACTTAAGCCGTTTTTATACAGCATTATAAATACATTAAAAGATGCAAACACATAAATTAAGTTCCTTTTTTAAATAAGGAGGTAAACATTTCATTGCCTAAATGTAATAACCTAAGAACATTTTTCTTTTTTTAAAGAGTTTGAACCAGGTGAGGGTAAAACTAGACCACTACAGACAAAACGTTTCATCATCTTTCATTCAAAATGTTTATATATCTTTTGCATACTTGTGGCTTTGAGTAAGTTGTTCTTTCAGCAAAAAGCCCATTAACGATTAATCAATTACTAAATTAGTGGTTGATTATTTCAATAATTTATTCATCATTCATTAATCCGATTAATTGCTTCAGCCTGATAGCTGATCATAATATCTGATAATATTATTTAGCCACTATGAGATCAGACAAAAAATATTAAAGTAAATGCAAATTGTAGTTTTTCAAAGATCAGTGTATGTATTGTACATTGACCTCCATATTGGACAGCAGATTAAGTTGATAGAAAATAACGTTAGAACAATTAAAGGCAAGGTAATTTTATTTGTATAGCACATTTTCAGCAACAAGACAAAGTGCTTTACATGACTTAGAGGAAATACAAACAAAATAAAAGAAAAGCAAGAGAAATCAATTACTCCACAATTTATAAAGTAATGGGAGTTTCTCTGAATAAACTAATAGAAAAGAAAAATAGTTTCTCTGAATTCTAAGTTTGTTCTAATTCCTGCTGTGGGTTGAGTGAAGTATATAATATACTTTATATAAAGTATATAAACCTGTTCTGGGTTGCCAGATAAACATAAGTAGTCCATAATTAAAGTTATTTCCCTCACATGAGTTTGTGTTTGTCAATGTAGTTCATCACTGTTGAAATTATAGATAACACTTTAGGAGAAACTTTGTGTCCCAGATATTAAATTTAAGCTCATTTGAGCTTTTTATTAGCATAACCTAGTTAATTCTGCAAACAAAGCTAGATCCACCAATCACAGTCTTCTATTATTTTTTACTAATTTTATCTTATTTATTTTAAAAGAATATAGGACTAAGTTAGAAAACGTGTTTTGGATTGAATTTGTTGTTTTGAATCAAACAGAAACTGAAAGAGATCATCCCCATGTATTCATCAAAGCATCCGTTTTTAACGTGTATTTTATTTCTATTAAACACGACATGCTGTTGATTCGTGTGTTTCAAATGACCAAAAATGTTGGGAGTTCTTAGTTTTAATGCATTTATTGAATAGGAGGGAAAAATGCAGATTTCTTAGCATTTGATCGGCCTATCGTCAATCAGAGCTGATAAAAATGTCTTTATTCTGATCTCTGGTTAACAAAAGCATCTCTAAAGTCCTGATGTATTTGTTCTTCCATTAATCCCTTAATGTTCAAGCAGAATTAATGAAGTTATGTGTTCATCGTTAACGTTCCTCCTCGTTAGCCTTCAAATGTTTAATCATGTTTCAAATGTAAGAGTCCTTATATCAGCATGTTGTCTGTTAACATTAATGTTTTTAAATCTATACTTAAAGAGTTTTGTGCAAGTAAAAGGTCACGACCCTCCCTTCTGCAGCAAGCTCTTCATGTTTATTAATCAAGTTTGAGCTGCTGTGTTGGAATGAAAGAGTTATGAGTATTCAATTATTATTTAGCTTTGATTTCCAAGAAATAATTGAACTAATCATATTTTGGTCTTTTGATACAGTAAACATCGATCCATATGGTATTAAATTCACTCCATTATTGTTACTTATCACATTTGTAAGAGCATGCGTACGTGCGTGCAATGCCAATCAATTTCTTCCAGAGTGTGGGATAAGTTTCATTCACAATCCTCTCTAGTCTTTAGTTATCCTGCTTGATTTCGACCAAACGTTTTTCCTTCCACTCAACTTTCTGTTGTGATCTGTGTTTTTCTGTATAGTTATTTTGGGATTTTCTGTGTTTAGTCCTGTTTCCCTGAGTCTCTGTGTTGTCCTGTCAGCCCTTGATTGTTCCCAGGTGTGTCTCGTTCCCTTGATTACCCCCTGTGTATTTAAGTCCACCTGTTGTCTCTGTCTCTTGTCGGGTCCTCGTCTACTGTCGTCTAATGTCACATGTTGATGCTCTCCAGTAGAACTGTAAAGTCCTGGTTAGCTTAGCTCTCTTTTCAGTCTTTTTTGTCAGTTGCTACCGGTATTTAGCTCTGTGCTATACTCTCTGCTGTGCCCCCTGTGTTGGACTGTTTGAGTTTTCATCATTAAATTCATCATCTGGGTCCCTGTGTTCATCCTCACCATCGCCATAAACCACAACTCATGACACTTTCCATGTTTACAGCCAGATTCTTTACCAGTGACTTGCCCTGTGAATGACTGTCACTAGGAAATCTGGCAACTCAGTAGATTTCTCCATAACTAAGTAGGCCATAACATAACATCCATTTTCAAAAACTGTTTTTATTCTTCTTAATATTAACATTTTCTGAAAAGCTGAATTTTGGGTTTTCACTTGTTGTTAGTCATAATTATCAAAAGTAACATAAAATGCTTGAAACAGAAATGTGCGAATAATGAATCTGTAAATGATCATCATTGTTTCAAACTCAAACTTGATATCCTTATTTACTGAGATGCTCCTGAATATCGCATCGATTTCACTACTTTTAATGAAGGTTTATAGTTAGAAAACTGCATAGTTGCATTAAAAATAGACATTTTTAACAAGACAGAGGCCCAGTTTCAAGGCGTTAAATTACAAAGTCAAAATTTATGATTAAAATATTTGTTATACAGCTCAGGAATAAAATAAGAGACCACTTAAAATGATCAGTTTCTATGATTTTTACTGTTTATAGGTTTATGTTTGAGTAAAATGAACATTGTTCTTTTATTCTATGAACTACTGACATGTTCATAAAATTCCAAGCAAAAATTTAGAATTTATTTGCAGAAAATAACAAAAAGAAGCAGTACTTTCAGCCCTCAAATAATGCAAAGAAAACAAGTTCAAATTAATTTAGAAACAATAATACTAATGTTTTAACTCAGGAGAAGTTCAGAAATCAATAACCAGGAGGTTTTCAATGGGGTTCAGTGCAGTGGGCTCTTAGTTTTTTCCAGAGCTGTATATTACTGACATTTTTATAACAAAATGAAGATAAAGTAGTTGATTGTACTATAAAATAGCACTAAATGCCTAGAAAACACATACTGCCCCTTTAAGATGCACAGCTGTTGAATTCAGCTGGTTTCTCTAATACTGTTGGCTCTGTTTTAAAAACATTATTCCAATAAAACCAATTAAGCTTGACTCAACTGCTTGTTTTCTGCTTGTGCTAAATTACTGAGCTGCGTTAAACCCTAAAACAGAGAAATGCATTTGTTTTGCATCATGTAAACTATGATGCATACAGTGTTGGTTTTTACTCAGGCCTCTGCTCTGACCTTTTATTTCTGAATGAAACCAAGGAGCCATGAAATGCCGAAAGGCTGAGTGACCAGAACCAATTCAGAGTTCAACCGTCTGCAGAAACGTCACTTATCTGGTGTCGATGTCGTAGACGTTTTCTGCTCTCAAAAGGCTGAAGCTCACAGAGGTCAGAGTTCATTTTCTGTTGTAGCTGCATGGCTGCTGTTTTTCTCATTCATTCCTCACAGAATGAACTGCAGCTGTTGCATCAGTTCTTTATTTCTGCAGCTGAACCGTTGCTAAACATTGCATCAGGTGTCATTCAGCCTACCTGCCAGCTCTACCTCACAAAGAGCTTAATGACGGGCTTTCAGCAGCAGGAAATCCTCGGCCCCCTGGTAACAGCGAATTAAAGAGAGCCGCTCATGTCACGGCTTAGAACCTCTCCTGATTCTGACCCGCCCAGCACCGCTGAGTGAGAGACGCTACCCATCGCCCCCTTCAGAGTCAACAACTGTCTGACTCACCTGAACATGAGAGATGCATCTCATTTAAAAACAAATAAAGGATTTAAAAATACTTGTTATGATTCTGCATTTTGACTTGACCTGTTGTATTTATTATTATACATTCTTTGAAGGTATAATGAAGTATTTTAATTCAGTAGAGAGCTTTTTCATTGCAAATGAAGAAAATGTTTTATATATATATATATATATATATATATATATATATATATATATATATATATAATTTTATTTATATATAACAGAATTTTTTTCTCTTTATCATAATTAA